CAACAGCCCTAAACCCTGCTCTATCCTGTGCCAATCTCACTGCCTCTGACACACCCATCCCGATTACCCCAGTCATTGAATCAGTCCATCTCATGGTACATTCAATACTCTTCTCCAGATTACTCATATATTCTTTTTATATGTAATTGAACATATGGATTATAATTATGACTCCTTTGAGGAAAATAAAATACACCTTTATAGTGAAAACTTTGTGTTTTTTTACTTCTAAGCAAAGATAAACTTTATAATTTATATAATGAAATCACTCAAAAATAATGCTATCAGCATTGTTTCGTATGTTATTCAATGTTATTGTTATTGTTATGTTGATTGCCGTTGAGTCGAGCATGACTTATAACCACCCTATGAACAAAAGACTTGAAGCCTTTCTATAACCACTGTCATTTCTCCAAGTTTATAGAGTTTCCAAAGGCATGTGGGTTGGGAAGTGGATGCCACTCCTGCTTCCAAACCAGTCTTAAACTGGGAGCTTCACTAAACACTGTAAAAAATGCGCAAACCATTATGGCATTTTACACCCCAGTGGCACAAAGTCCAGCATCATAGCAAACCTAGATTACCTCAGCATAGCAAATTGACAGAAGAATGCTTTATGACTTAGAAGAATCCTCTTCAATATATAACATGAGGATTCAATAGGACTTGTAATCTCTTGTCTAAAAATGTACTAAAAGTGTAAAGATTTGATGTTGTTGTTGATGTTGATTGCCGTCAAGATGAACATGATTCATAGCGATCCTATGGACAAAAGGCCTGAAGGCTTTCTATAACTATCGTCATTTTTCCAAGTTCATAGAGCTTCCAGAGGCATGTTGTTTAGGAAGTGGATGACACTCTTGCTTTAAATACACTAGCTTTCCAGAGATTTTGGCCTACTGGGAGTTGTACTGCCAAACTAAAGGCACATAGTTCAAATGCACCACTGTTCTGCGGGGAAAAGATAAGCAATCTCCTCAAGTGAATTTACAACCTCTGAAAACCCATGGGGGAGGGGAGGAGTCAGCTTTGATTTGGTTCTGACTCAATGGTATATTACTATAGCAACAATTTAAAATCATTGCTGATGCCAGATAGGATCCTGGCTGAATGGGAATAATTGAAAAATGTTTACTTATGTTTTATTGACTATGCAAAGGCTTTGCACTGGGTGGATCATAACAAATTATGGAAAACATTGAGGAAAAACAGGAACCCCAGAACACTTAACTGAGTCATATAAAACCTATCTCTAGACTAAGACATAGTTTTCTGAATAGAACAAGGGAACATGATAGGGTTTAAAATCAGGCACCTAACAACAGCAACAACTGAATTTATTAATATACTCAAGATATGTGTAATTACACTTGGTAAACTGATTACAATTGAATAAATAGAAGCACTGTGTTAATATTGCACAGAAGAATGAATTCTATATAAGTGTTATTATAAAGGAACAGATTCTACTCTGTTGGTAAATTTAAATGAAGAAAGTAATGCTCTTTGACTGGCTCTTCTACAGGTCCCCAGTAATGAAAACCAGAAGTAGGAAAAGTTCTAATGAAGGAAGAACGTTCAAACACAGGCACAAAATATGTCAACATTTCCCCAAACAGAAAGGACTTTTGTTATTTTTCAAGTCGGTGTTTCATTCTTAGGACAGCTTCAATGACTGAATGCAGATTAAAATTCCCAAGAAACATGTGGATCATGCTTTCCTCTCCCAGGAAAGACCCTATGGCCATATCTGTATCATAGATCCTGCCAGAATAGGATACATAATTGTGTTAACATTTAACTTAAGCCAGAGCTAAGCAGCCACATTATGCCCTATTTATGTCAATTTTCTAGTCTCAATGAAATAAACATAGAGCTTTCAACTAAGGCTACATTGTATCTACTTAGGAACCTACTTACATCTACTTAGAGTTTAACAATTTAATCACATAAGAGATTATCTTTATAAGAACCTATGTTGTTCCTTTTAAAATCAATTTGCAATTTTTCCACAAAACTATTCTAAACTTGAATGCTGGAGATCACACAGTCTGATACAAATGTGATGATCACAGTTTGCAGCGCAAACCATAAACTCAGTAGGCTTCCATTTAGACAATATTATCTTTAGCCAATAGTCAAATGTTGATTCAGAAACATAGGAGAGCCACAGGACATATTTTTCTCTTAACCAATTCTCTTTGTGAATCATCTACAGTGTCAAGGGAGAAGCAGGGACTCATGGCTAGACTTTATAGTTAGCATATGGAAAATTCCTCATAAAATACAATCCTAGGCTTAATTTTACATGTACTTAAATTTACTAATAGTTTAAAAATATTAGTAGAATTTGAGTGAAACTGACAGATTAATTGACCTCAGAGGAGCATGGAAATAGTCCTAGAACCACACACATCTTGTTGCTATTTCTATTCCAGGGGCACAGCTGATAAAAATAAGAGGCCTTGTGGGTTTCCTTTGCCCTTAAAGACTTTAATCATGAAAACTTCATAATCCAAGCATTATTTCTGTTCTATATAATTATTTTAGGATGGTCTTAATTTTAACATGAAACTGATATTTTAAGAGTATAAAAGAGGGGGAAAATCAATCAAATTCATATGATGCCACTGGCTTTAATTTGTACACAATGCTATTTGTATCTCTGATGTTGAGACTCATAAATGAAGATGGCATTAAGGAATGAACACACTGATCATCCATACAAAGGAAGTTTCTAAAGAGGAATATATCCCAACATACTGTATTTTTTTAGATATAAAAGCAAAGAAACAACAGAAAAGACAAAATGTCCCTCGAGTTAAAATGTCTTTAGATTTATGCCTTACTTTTTTCAATTACAAAGGCTATATTCTGAGTTCAAAAATAGTGACAAAACAAAGATAAAGAAATTCAACTAAAGTATATTTCAAAATTGAATGCATATAATTGTGGTAAAATACGAAACGCATTATTTTGTCAGGTTATTATAAAACATGAAAAGGCACGCACTCTGATCTTCCCATTTAGTCTCAGGTATGTTTATGATTTAACTAGATGCTGCCTAATTGACATTAATGAAAATAATTGTATTATCTATAGCTAGCATTAGGGAGCAGTATGGGCAATCTCCTCCTGTGTGATCGACTGCTTTTGAAAAGCCACTGGAGGGTCAGCTATGGGTTGGTTTTGACTCAACAGCACACAACAACAAAAACATTAAACTTACCAGAAAAAAACCTGGATGCTGTCCCTAATATTTGAAGCAAGAGAAACTATCTGTGATTATCACTGCCATTCAACATAGTACCAAAGCCAGTTCAAGAGAGAGTAAACAAAAGTAAATAAAATGAAATTTCCTCACTATAATTAATAAAGTTATCGATCATAAATTAAGAAATAAAACTATTTGTATTGAAGAATATAGTTTATGTAGAAAATTCTAAGGAATGCACCAGAAAGTTCTTTGACCTATCAAGCAAACTTAGCAAGGTCTCAAGATAGAAGATCAAAACACAAAAATCAATCCAATGTCTATAAATTTAATGAGAAATGGTTGAATAAAACATCACTTATAATCACACAATAAATTAAATAGTTGGTATAGTTATTGACAGCACATGCTTTATACTGAAAATCACAAAATGATGAGAATATGAAATGACAGTATTCGTCCTACTTATAATTCCAAATGCTATATAAGAAGCTATAGTTATGTGTCAAAAATTATAACATAATCCACATATTCTGTTTGGCTTTTTTTTTTCTTTTTTCGTACTTAACTAAAACATCTAAGCTTTTGTCATTTGGAATATTCTTTTTTAAAATAAAATTTTATTTTATTTGAGATGTGAGTGAACATTTACAGAGAAATTAGATTTTCCTACATTCATTGTTTTATACTTTACACCCTGTCCCTCCCTTCTCCCTCTCTCAGTTCACTTTAAAAAAAAATTTATTCATTGTTTCACAATTACCTACCTTCCCCCTATTGTTTTTAATTGTCAAAATTCTTAAAATTATACTTCATTAGGTTATTACTATCTTGTTAAATTAAACCTGCAAAATCCATTGTGAACAGATTATTTAACCAAAGTTTTCAAGAATTCTGTTCCCTTCCATTTCCAGTATTCATACTTGAAAAAAAAATTGATGTGGGAAAATACTGTCTCTTCTTGCTAAGATATGAATTCCATTCTTTCTGTTACGGTCCTTTAAATTCTATATCTCATTACTTTGTGTTCCTTAAACATATTTCTAATATACTCAACTGACATTGTTTGTGCCATTATGTTTAAGCAGATTCATAGATGACCGTCTATCAGGTTTTCAAAAGCTATACATTGAATGGGAGGAGACTGCCTATCTTCCTTCTATGGAGCAGCCTGTGGATTCAAACCAAGTGCTTTTGGGTTGGCAGTGCAGCTCCTTACCTACTAGGCCACCAGTATTCTAATCACTAGATGTATTTTATGCAAAAATATTATGAGGAAGAACTATATCAACATAAATAACAAGACAAAGAGCTACTTTTTTTTTTAGTATTTTCTTTGTGCCAAATAAAGGTCTATGTGCTTTATTCACTTGGTCTTAGTAAACCTTTACACTCATTTTCTAGAAACCTTAATCTAATATAGTAATAACAGATCTAGGATTTGGATCAGACATATGCTATTCATACTTTACATTCCATAGTCTTTCTCTCTATTCTCTCTCCCTCATAAATCTTATACTCTAATTATAGCAACCAGGGCAATGCTGACATTACTGAAGCTTCATACTGAGAAAAGGAGCCATGGTAACCTAGATGTTGAACAATTCAACTACTAAACAGAAGTTCAGTAGTTCGAACCCACTAGCTACTCCATGGGAGGAAGAGGCAGTCTGCTTCCATAGACTTATATAGCCTTGGAAATTACTGGCAGCTCTACTCTGTTCTATATAGTCATATTTACTTGGAATTCACTCAATGTCAATTTTAATACACAATTGGTTCCTACCTTAGACCAGTCACCCATTCTCCACACATAGCATTTTGAGTAATCTTCACAGTCCTCAGCCTCCCTGGGTCTGGTGGAGAGCACACATTTCTTTCGGGGGTTGGTACACCTCACAGTCCGATGACGTACGCCTTTGCCACACTTGACTGAACACTGGAAGAGAACATCAGAGAGTTTGGATAAAGACTTCGATTAGGGGATTTGGAATGCAGACTCAATTATGTATTGCCCTTTAGGGAGCTCTGATGACCTAGTGTAAGGAGCTACCCTACCAATCTAGAGGCAGGTGGATCAAATCTACCAGCTGCTCTGCAAGAAAAGATAGAGAATTGCCTCCTGTGTGATTTACAGCCTCTGAATGCCTGCTGGAGAATAAGCTATGAGTCAATTGACAGTGAATCAACTTCCATTCAATAAATTTCTGTCGAGGTTGTATACCATAAAGTAAGAAGCGTCCTGTAGCTGACCCAACAGTGGATTCTCAGAGGCAGTTAATCAACAGGAAGAGATTGCCCATCCTTCTCCTGCAGACCAGTTGGTGGCCTGGAACAGCGTGCCTTCAGGATTGCAGCACAGATTCTTGCCCCTAGGCCACCAGAACTCCCTTTACTGTTGGTAGAGGAAATGAAAACTGGTACATCCAGTTTAGAGGATAGGGTGTCACTTTGAAAAATAAGTAACAGAGGTTTGCCAGTTAATCTAGCAATCATATTACTTGATATTTATCCAGATGAGCTGAAAATGTGTGTTTACATAAAAATCTACACATAAATGTTTTTAACAGTCTTTTTCATAATGGCTAAAGATTGGAAGCAGGAGTGGCATCCACTTCCTAAACAACATGCCTCTGGAAACTCTAAGAACATCGATAAATGAGATAGTTATAGAAAGGCTTCAGGATTTCTGTTCATAGGATCACTATGAGTTGTGCTCAACTCAACAGCAATCAACAGCAACAACAAAGTTTGGAAGCAATCAAGGTATCCTTCAGTAGGTAAGTGGATGATGCAGACATCCAAAGGCATATTATTCAACAAAAGAAATATATGATGTTTTAATACATGTTACAACAAGTATGAGACACGAAAATGTTACTGTTTACCATTGAGTCAGAGCTAAGTCATAGTTGACTCTCCAGCAGGTTTTCTGAGGGATGAGGATGTGCAGGAAGAGGGGAGGATTAATCATGGGGTTGTACAATTTGATAGGGGTAGGATGAGGGAAATCGAAAAAAATTTGTTCTTAAAAACAATGTATTCAAATTTTGTAAAAAAAAAAAAAACTAATAGGAAAAAAAAATTGGACCAGTGGAGATTGCCCATCTTTCTCCTATGTAGGAGGTGGTAGATTTGAACTATGTACCTTTGGGTTAACAGCACACACTGAATCACCAAGTTTAGAGGCTTAACACTAAGTCACAAAAGCTCTTAGAGTGTAAAAACATTTTGTGTATTAAAATTTTCTCCTGTTACCATTGAATCAGAACCAACTCATAGCTGGCCCTTCCGTGGATTTTCAGAGGCTGTCTTCACAAAGAAGACTGCCCATCTTTCTCCTTAGGAGCTACTGGTGGATTTGAACTGCCAGAGAGAAGCCACCATTGAGTTAATGTAGCTTTCTACTGACTACACTAACAGAGCACAAATAATGCATATCATTTATATAAACATCATTTATATAAACTATCTAGGATAGACAAGGGTATATAGAGAAAAAATTATTGATAGTTTTCAAGGGAGAAGTGATTTCTTGGAGAGGGACACCACGCTCGGGAAGGTGGAAGGATGGCAATGGAGAGGAAGATTCTCAACCAGGTTATTGACACAGTGACTACAGCAAAGGGCTTGAGTGTGTCAGAAATTGTGAGGATGGCACAGGATAGGACAGAGTTTTAGCATCACTACGAACTGTCCTGGACTCGAGAGCACCTCACAACAACAACAACAACAACAACAACAACAACAACAAGGTCTTGGGGGAAAGAAAGAATAAGGAGTTAGTGCTTAGAGACACTAAGCTTCTATTCAGAGTAATGAAAACATCTAGAAATGAGTAGTGATAAATTTCTGAGCTCATAATGAATGAAATGAATGCCAATGAATTATACAGTTTAAGTGGCAAATGCTTAACATATATTTTATCACAATACCATTTTTAAAGGAAGTCAGAGAAGGAAAAGGAAGTGTGGCTTGTACAGCACCTCGGACCACACGCCCGCCTCCCACACGGTCATGCAGTCCTGGCCCTCGCAGCGCTGGGCAGAGGTGGGCTTGGGCCCGGAGCAGTCCCTTTCGCGTGCTCGGATCAAAGTGCCGTTGCTCAGTTGTTGGGTGCAGGCCACTTGTCTGCTCTGCATCCCCTTCCCACATGTTCGTGAACATGGCGTCCATTCGGTCATCATCCATCTAAATATAAAGTAAAAATCACTGAAAACGAGCTAGAAAAAGATTGAAGTTGTAAGCTATTTCATTTTCTTTGAATATACAGTCAACACCAACAGTAACAGCAGCAAAAAAGCCAAAAGACCTATTGCATTAGGACAATTTGTTGTCAAGGACCTCTCAAAAATGATAAAGGGGGGGGTAGAAGCAGAGGGATGAGGATGTGCAGGGGGAGGGGTGATTAATCATGGGATTGTACAATTTGATAGGTGGGTGAGGGAAATTGGAAGAATCTGCTTTGGAAAACAATGTATTCAAATTTTGTAAATAAACGAGTAAAATTTAAAAAAGAAAAAGAACAAAAAAAGAATTATATACCTATTATTATGTTTCTATGTCTAGAAGTGGGAAGAATGTTACACAGTAACTTTTTACTGTTTTGAATAACATAGTTTTCCCAGGTTAGTCACGCTTTCTGTTGATTTCTCCTTATTACACATTTCAGGGTCCTGCCTTAATTAGAGTCTCAGATATCTATATCTATCTATCTAGGTATATATATATATATATATATACAGACATACATTTATATAAGTAGGTGTCAGGTTAAGTCCATGTCATATTATATAATTTGCTTTTTATTATCATATTGACACACAGAGATAAGTTAAACGTATAAAATATAACATACACGAATTATTTCTATGTATTTTGAATCTTCACAGCATCCCATGTATTAAGTGCAACAATTATCCTGGCCATTTTATTGTAGCTGTTATCTGTTATTGAGCTGCCTGACACTCATAGTGACCCTATGCACAATAGCTCTGAATACTACCCTATCCTGAGCCAATACACCTACCCACATTAATCTAGTTACTTTGTTAATTCACGTCATCTAGGGTCGTTCTGTCATGCACTTTCCTTCCAACCTTCCAAGCATGATGTCTGTCTAAGGATTGGTCCCTTCTCTAAACATGCCCAAAGTATGTGAGATGGAGCCTCAAAATCCATCCTGAAAAGGAGCAACTTGTGTCCCTTTCTAGGACACATCTGATTGTTCTCTTGACAGTCCATAATATGTTCAATACTCTTCTCTAGCACCACAACTCAAAGGCATCGAAGGATACCAAGTAAGTGCAAAGACCATGGCCTGGATCAGGCACGTCTGAGTCTCCAGACTGACATCATTCCTCTTCAGCACTCTGGAGAGATCTCTTACAGCAGTTTCCCTAATACAATTTGTCTTTTAATTTCCTGGCTACTGATGCCAAAACTATTGATAGTGTAACTGGGCAAGCTAAAATTGTTAACAAACTCAATCTCTTCTCATACATAATGGTGCTGTCAATTAGCTCAGTGGTGAGAATCTTTGTTTTCTCGATGCTGAGCTTTAACCCATATAGAAAATTCCAATTTTTGATCTTCTGCAGCAAAGACTTCATGTCCTTCTCAGCTTTGACAGGCAAAGTTGTGTCATTTGCAAATGTAGGTTGTTGATGAGTCTTCCAATCTTGATGCCACATCAACAATGTCCATTTTACAGAAGAGAAAACTGAGGCATCAGAAATTTTGTTTTGGGCCAGAAGTCCCGAGGTTATAAAGCCAGAAAGTATATTAAGGCTGTGGACCACTTCATAATTAGAGTTGAGTGGGTATAAACAAACAGACAGATGTCTCTAATAGAACATTTGCTCTTACTTTTATGTAGTAATTACAAATGCATTTTGCCTATTTCTGGCAACACTGCATTTTTCCTAATTCTTTCACTGCCCCTCTTCACCCACCAAGCACCGTTATCCTGTGATTTTCCCTCCTTCCTTACCCTCAGCCTCCCTACTCCTTTGCCCTTCCCCTTTTGGACTTTTATACCTATCTTACTAGTTATTCTTCTATTTTTACAATAATGGTCTTATGAAGTATTCATCCTTATGAGACTGAGTTAGTTCACTCAACATAATGCTATCTGTAAATGAATAAATGTATGAAATACAATATATGTGAATGATACAGAATGCATGTGAATTTTGTGTGCAAATCAATACAAATTAAATATATTAAAACATGTCATTTACTTTCTAGTTGATCCTAATTTAGAGTGATCTGATAGGACAGAATAGAACTACTCTCACCGGGTTTCCTACTCAGTTGATTTTACAAGAGCAGGAAGCCAGGTCTTCTTATCTCACATTTTGGCTAGCAGTCAAGAGCTTAACTGGTAAAGAAAATGCTATGGAGTAAATTCTACTCTGTAATTCATGATTTGAGATGAAGTTGATAGCAATAAAAACAGCTGTCTCTATAGAAGAAAACTATCATGTCTGTCTTTTCTTCATTGACAACACTGGGTAGATTTCAACTGTCAAATTTTTGGTTACTTGCCACATGCAAAACCATCAGTGTTACCCAGGACTAAGAACTACCCTGTTGTGGGGTGGTGGTGTACCATTATGTCAGAATCTCATGGCTGACCCTGCAGTGGGTTTTCAGAGGCACCTAATTGCATGAGTGATTGATCATCTTTCTCCCACAGAGCATCTGGTGGATTCAAACCATACCTTTGGGTAGCCAGAGTAACTCGTTACCATTAGGCCAAAGAGCTTCAGTGAGATCTGCCATAAGAACCACAGATTAAACACCTCTTCACAAGCTCCAGAAAAGTGATTAATGAAATTTGGTATTTGTATGATTCATGTCAATAAAAAGTCACTCTAGTTTCCCATTTTTTGGACCACCTTACAGAGAGATTCAAACTCCTCACTAACTGCACACAATCCACTTTCTGTGCAGTGTAGGGCAGTGAGAAGACCAGGATTTATGTCGGGGTTTCTCAGTAGTCATGCACAATCTTGAAACAATACTCAGCAGCTGAGAGTTTCCATTTTCTCATTTGTATAAGTGTTCATTACTATACTGCCTGGCACATAATAGACACTCACTACACAATATGCAACATATTGTTGTAATAATTTACTTTATTCTTAAACATTTTTCTAGTCCTATCTCCAATTTCTTTAGAAAAGAATCTATATATTCACCTTAAGGCCAAAATTCCTTCTATTTTTACCTCACAGAATTTATGTAGGATCCTCTTCTCACAGTGTCTGACATGCATCCTGTCAACATTGAGTTCTTCTGAGAAGAGTTTTTCTATCCAACCAACCAGGAACATCCTCTCTTTCCTCTATCACCTCTCTCATAGCACTCACATGGTACTTGTTTAGGTATTTCCCAGGCAAGTGGAGGGGATCAAACATTACCTAGGAACTTGTGCTTATTTTCCTTATTAATATACAAGCTATTCAATGGTACAAATCAATGTTTGATGCTTCTTTACATCCACAATTCTTTTCACATAAATGCATCTCTTTACATATTTATTAGGGAGCTCTGAAGGCTTAGTGGTAAGGAACTGTGCTGCCAACACAAAGTTATGTGGTTCAAATGCAACAGTTCTTCAGGAGAACAATGGGCAATCAATGTAGTTTGCTGCCTCAGAAAACCTGTCAGAGGATCAACTAACTACAAGTCAGTTCTCACTGATGGTAAACAACACTGACAAAATTTATTGAAATGGAAGCACCATTTTGCTTTTGCCTGTATAGGAATAGCTCCAATTATTTCATATGCACTTGACTCCAAATGTTCTTGGTAATTATTCAAATCTTGAGGCATTGTGCATTCTCAATAGCCTTCTTTTCTCATGAACACATGTACCAGTTGTCTTTGAGTCAATAATGACTCATGATAACCCCATGCGTCTGAACAGAATTATCTTCATCTCACTTAAAATCACAGGTTTTCAGAAGCAATGGCCAGAGCTTTCTTCCTTGGTGACACACTCACGGGTGAACTCAGACTTCCAATCTACTATTTAGCAGTTGGACAAGATAACTTTACAACTCCCAAGGATTCCTTTCTCATATGTAAAATGGTGTAATTATGAGTGAAACTATGTTTCTATTGCTAAAAAATGACAAATTTCGTGGTAACTTTGCATCCTAGTGCTGATTGGCCATATAGGCAGCAAGATGCAAACCTACCATTTTGCTTTGGAGTCCTCTTGAACACCGTCCCTAAAATGACTATTTTTGCTTCTAATGTAGTATAATTTAGGATTCATATTTTTCTCCAAAAATATGATGGTGTTATCCTAAAAGTTAGTTCTTTTCAGCCATCACAATTAGTCCCCTCTGGTCTCCAGCTACCTTAACTGTAGACACATGGTCTTGTAAATCATCAACAGCTGTGGGACTAGAATAAGAGAAAGAGTGCTTCCCACACTGGAGAACAAGACTTGAGGAGAGCAAGACCTGAGGCGAGCAAGACTTGAGGGAGACTGGAACAGATCCTGTTGGCAAGACCCTGGTGATGTTGTTGGAGAGAATGGCATTGCTATGGAGAAACTGTAAAGAAACTGACAAGATATAAGCAGAAAAGCACAAAGATAAAGGCCACAGTTAAAGATCTTTGCTGTCCTTGTTCGATGCTTAAGGAAGAAGCTGACTTATAACTGCTCTGAAGCAAACGTTGCTGGATGATTTGGATTTGACGGCTGAACTGAAACCAGAGCCTGGACTAATTGAGGAATTTTGCCTTGGAACTTGGGTGAAAACTTAGACTTGTTTTGGGTGATATTTTTTGCCTGCCCCACTCTCAAACTTTCTTCCATAATAAACCCCATTCTCAGTACCACAGCTGTGAGTCTGTGAGTCAACAATGAATAAACACACCTCTTGCTGTTTGTTAGTGTGGCTCTAGAGGCACCATGGGGATGGGCTATGGGCTCTTTATCTGCTTTCTGCTCTGGAACAGTGCAGAGCTGTGTTATTCCTACTCTATCTGGGCTTTTCAGAGAGATACTCATGGCCTTATGTTCCATTTTCTGCACTTTAGACAAATAGTCAAGCAATATTTAATTTAAATGATTTTTTAAAATTATGGAGCTCAGAAGATGTTATTCAAGAAAGAAATGTTTGCCATTTTATGGAAACTCAGAGGAGAGGGCTCATATCTGTTATACCTAGGGTCATTTTGGATAGTTCTCAACTCAACGGCACCTAAGAACAACAGCAACATATTTTGGAAATATATTTTAGATATCTTTAGTGTAATTATAAAAAGTTTCCTTTTCTACTCTTTGTGAAAATTACTCAGAAAATAAGAACTAAAATGCAAAGTATAATTTAATGCTAATTCTAAAACATGTTTTATTTTCTAATTTATATACTATGAACTGGAGGTGCTACTCCTTGGAGAATGACATGATGCTGGGAAGGGTGGAGGATCAGGGAAGGAGAGGAAGACCTTGAACCAAGTGGATTGACACGGTGACTACTGCAATCAGCTTTTGTGTGTCAGGAAGTATGAGGGTGGTGGAGGACAGAACAGGGTCTCTATGAGTCATACTAGACTTGATGGCACCTAATAACAACAACATGTCCTTATTTGACTTCTTAAAAACTATTCACAAAGTGAACCAATGTATTTTATATTTCGCACATCAGATTCTATTGGCCCATTTCATGACATTTTCAATAAATATTTGTGGAAATGAGAATAGTTTTTACTTGTTTAAGGAAAATGAAATGATAGAAGTGATGAAGACTTTGGATATTCCAATGTCATAGAAAGTTCTCATATGATGACTATGTATAACTACTCATGTACATTTCTAACTTTTCATTGTTTTGGCCAAACCCACAGATATATATTATTGGTGGTTCAAAATATATCACATCCTTTTCCAAGACAACAAATACAACAAGCTTTAAAAAAAAGGCTTCTAGTCTGCAGCTACAAAAACTTCTCACCCAAAAATGTATTGACTTTTAAAAATTTATCATTTTATCAAGTCATAATTAAGACACTTCCCCCTATCCCCGACAGATCAAACTGACAACAAATGGTGTGTATTATAGACTCTGATTTTTCATAGGTTCACAAGTGACAAACATGCTCTAATTCTCAGATCCAGCTTATTCAAGATTCCTGATATATCAAAAAAGCTGTTACTCTTTCTTTAAAATAGAAAAAAAAGGTGTATGATACATAATCTAATTATTGCCTGAGGGCTATGGCTGATTTATAAACTTAAATATATTGATTTTATGGAAAAGTATGTTTAAGATTTCAGCTTTATAGAGAAAGAAAAGACCTTTTCTAAAATATCTTAAGCTCTCATTAACATGGCATGAGTTCACACAGAAGACTTCATCACCAGGTACTGCAGTCAGCCAGAGGAAGATGGTGCTGCATCAGAAGGGAGAAGGCAGGGAAGAAGTGTAGCCGGAAGAGTTGAGCACTGCCTGGATGCCACTTATTTCCAAAAAGATTATTTAAAATAGAAAAGCCAATAATATAGTTATTTGGTTCCTTTGCTCCTCCTCCTTTCTTTTCCCTAATAGCCTTGCTTTTTGTGTTGGATGATTTGACTGGCTCCAGATTGCTACAAAGCCATAAGATATTCACATACTCTTATTCACAGACTCTTGTTGTTGTTAGGTGCTGTTGCATTGACTATGACTCATAGTGACCCTATGAACGGCAGACACAAACTCGTCCTATCTTGTTCCATCCTCACCTCTGAAACACTCAAGCTGCAGTCGTGCCAATTCGTCTCACTGATGGTTTTCCTTTCTTTCACTGACCCTCCATCTTTCCAGGCATAATGTCCCTTATCAAAGAATAACTTCTCTTAGCAACGTATCCAAAGTATGAGAGACAAAGCTTTAATATCTTTGTCTCTAAAGAGCATGTGGGCTGCACTTTTCCCAAAACATATCTGTTTGTTCTTTTGGCAATCTATGAGATACAGTATTATTCTCCACCACCACAACTCAAAGACATCAGTGTTCACTGGCCAAAGCAGTTAACTGAAAAGACCATGGCCTGAATTAGGCACACCTTAGTCTTCAAAATTGTTCATCAGTATTTTGGAGAGGACAACGGACACTCCAAGTCCAATACATCTCCTAACTACTGGTACCAATGATGTTGATTGTTGATAAAAGTCTTAGCATGTACAAAGTTGTGACTCCACTGCAGAGGCTATTGTCAAGGGAAGATAGTCTTTGTTTGACTATGAACTACAACTACATTGTAGCTCATTGAGCCTCAACAAATTCCTGAATGCAAGACAAAGCAAAAATAGTTTCATCTTCAAAATATGCAATTCATTCTCATACTGTCCTAGTCATCCTGTCTCTAAACATTTTTAGGTCATAGGAGCTCAGTCTTGCTTCAGGTCAAGACCAGTTTCTATATTAAAATCATCATATTTTCAAGAACGTTGTGATGGGATCTCTGCTGCTAGCCCCCTCTAAATTAGTCCCAGCTTCTACTCATTTGTCTTTGCCTCATCTTTCTGTGGCCAAACTGTTATTTCATTAATTTCTCTCAAACATGTATTAACTTCTAACAGATTTCTTATTCAGTTTAAATGGTAATTCATTACTTAGACTTTCTACTTCAGCTTCTTAGTATTTCCATTGTGCCCCTGAGTTTATGCTCACTTCATTCCTTTTCAAGGGTAAGTGGGAAGGGACCAACGAATCCACCCAGTATGTATTAACCAACGCTGGAATTAGGTTCCAGAGATCTGCTATTGAGCTGTTTGCCCTGGGAACTCAGGGAGAAGGAAGGAAAGTCTGGTATTGGGAACCAAAGGAGTGACATTGATCTCCTTGTCCTACCTCAAATCTGGCTTCCAGCTTGTTTTGTTTGGCCCTATAGACCATCACCCTTGATAAACTTAACATCATTTCAGTAAATTCAGAAGTAAAAAAAAACAGGGAAATTCAATAAAAACACGATTTCTAAAGAGTTTAATCTATAGTTTACTAAATACATTCAATTAATTCTCTCCTTCCTTCTCTTAGTCAAGTGGTTGTTTTCATACTGTGGAGAGTATAGCTAATTCTGCACCAATATTCTGTCCATTAAGCCTATCATCTTGATTTCTTAGACATACTTGTAGATATCTATCTCTTAATCAGAGTGTGTTTCAAAAATCTTACTTTCAGTCGCCGTATGTTGTGACGCGGTAAGAATCCACTGAGAAATCTCACCTTGTTTGGCATGGCTGCTCATTACACTTTCGAATCTGTGGCTCGGGCTTGGTTAAGTATTTGCATTTCTTGTTGTCTACAATGCTGTTATTTTTGTTCATGATTTTTGTGCAGGATACCGTTGTCTTCCTCTCTCCTGAAAAGAGGAAATAAGTATAGAAAAAAATGTTATCGTATGCCTTTTTGTAATAACTTAATAGGTGCTCACAAGCTTTGTTTTACTTTCCACGTTGTTTTTGTGTGCTGTAGAGTTGGAAGTGACCCATTGCAGATCATCGTGGCTTTCAGAAGCAGTAAATCATTTAGGAGTAGACTGTCCATCTTTCTCCTTGGGGAAGCAGATGGTGAATTTGAACTGTGTACCTTTATTATTGCAGTGCAATTCTCTACTGTTAAGCCACCAGAGTTCCTTCCCTTGATACTTTACTTTTATTTTTTTCCTTGGTACTTTTCTTTGAGTGGGAAGAAGCCTATTATTTTTAATCAGAACCTTCATCGTACTTTCAGATATATGTTATTGTTGCTGTTATATGCTCCTGTGTCTGACCCATAACAATCCTAGGGCACATAGCAGAACTCCTCATAGGGTTTCCTAACAGGGATTAGATTGACTATATCTGTGGAAGTAATCTTTGGAGGAGATCAATATCATCAGGCAAAACCAGGCCAGGTGCTGACTGTGGAACAACCCATCAATTACTCATTTGCAAGTTCAAACTGAACCTGAAGAAACTGAAAACAAATCTACAAGAAGCAAAATATGATCTGCAGTCTGTATTACCTGAATTAAAGAATCAACAACAGGGTTGAAGCACTGATTACTCATAGACGAGAGTAGGATATTATCTACAAAGAGAGCAAAACATCATTACAAAGTCAGGGGAAAAAAATTAAAATGAATATCAAAAGAACTTATAAAAATTGCATTAGAACACTGAGAAGGAAAAAAAAAGAAAAATGCTTAAGTAAAGTGTTGAGCAAATTTCAAATTGTAGCTCAAGAAGACAAAGGAAAGTATTATATAACAAACTGCAAAGAGCTGGAGTCAAGAGGACAAAAGAAGAGGAAATCGCTTGCCATTTCTCAGTTTGGAAGAACGAAGAAACAAGTTCAAGCCTTGAGTTACAGTACTGAGAGATGTTATTTGCAATATCTTGAATGATTCAAGAAATATTAAAAAAAATGGAAGGAATACACACAGTCACTGTACCAAAAGACACTTGGTTGATACGAAAACTTAAGCAAATACCATATGAACAAGAATCAATAGTAACAAAGAAGTTCAACCTATGCTTATGACACTGGCAAAAAAATAAAAAATAAGGCAACCAGGAATCGATGGAATAACGACTGACATGATTCAACTACCAGATTCAATCCTAGATGTGCTCACCAATCTATGCTAGGAAATTTGGAGGATTGCTGCAGAGTAGACTAACTGGGAGAGTTCCATTTTTGTTCCCATTCCTAAGAAAGGTGATCCAAAAGAATGTGGATCAAGCAAATAGTAATATTACATATAAGCAAAATATTGTCCAAGATCATCCAAAAAGAGCTAGAGCAGTACATTGAGAGAGAACTATCAGAAGTTCAAGCTGGGTTTAGAAGAGGCCGTGACACCAGAGACATCACTGGTGATATCAGGGGGATCCGGACTGAATGTAGAGAATGCTAGTTGAATATGTGGGGATTTTTTTACCATGCAAAAGCATTTGACTGGATGGATCATAACAAACTAAGGCTAATGTTGAGATGAATGGGAATCCCAGAACACTTAATTGGACTCCTATGAAATCTATACCTACACAAAGAAGCTGTTAACTGATTGAAAGAAGGGCAACAGTGCATGGTGAAGGATGTGTGTCAGGGCTGTACCTTTTGTTGTATCTGTTCAATCTGTATGCTGAACAAATAATTAGTGAAGCTTAAAGAATAACGAAGCAACAAGATTCAACATATTTTAGACCAAAAATTACCAGAAGATACTCCTTAAAGTGGTTGGACTAGGAAAATGCATACCTCTAGGGAGAGAAATTTGAAAATACAGTTTCTTTCTCCCTGCAGAAGCACTCTAGAAAATATGACTTGGCAAATGGAGCTTAGGCTGAATTTGGCTAAATTTGGTGCAAACTTTGCCTATCTGAACATAAGAGATAAACTTTCAAAAGCTCTCCAGTCTGACCGAAGAACGGGATGTGGTAGTGGATTCTAATGCTAAATTATAGAGGAAAGGCAGGCTTGTATTCCACAGGTGATCCTTTGATAAGATTCCTTATAAGAAAGGAGCTGTATGGCATTAGACTTAATCATATTAGTACTTAAAACTCAAATCATTTTCAAATACATGGTTAGAAATTCAGAAGTCTTATGTATGCTCTTGCTTCTACATAGAAAAAAACTGGCTACATGAATTACTAATTCCTGACCTATTTCCTGTCAATCTCTTTCTGGTTCTCTCTGCTTTAAGTAGTCTTTCATGACCTGATGTACGCAATAAGTAGGAATTATGTAAATTTCACAGAATGCTAACATGGGTAAACACTGTTTGTACCTTATGATGACACAGAGCTAAACGGAGGATTAAAATGAATATTATTTTCATAAAACACAAATGCTAGTTTTCAAATTTAATTTAAAGCCTCCATAATCTTAAGAAATCTTTTCTAGAATAGATGCAGTTGCCGAAGTGAACTTAAATAATGGCTTTTTGCCAACTACAACAACAAAAACAGGGTGACTGACATTATCCAGAAGGCGTTTGTTGAACATATATGCAGTCATAGAACACATATTTTAAGCTAATTATGCAGTATTTACTTTCTTCAGAAATATTTAATCTTAGCCAAGAACTAATATTCAGCTTTGAAGAAAAAAATTTAAAGTATGTCATTCTGTGCTATTGAGTCAGAACCAACTCATAGCTGAGACTTCAATGGGTTTTTAGAGGCAATAAAAAGCACCCAGCACAAGACTACCCATCCATCTCTTGCAGAGAAGGTTGTGGCTTTGAACCATGTTCCTATGGGATAGCAATGCACATTCTTCCATTAGGCCACCAGAGCTTCCCAGTGACATATCAAAAGGGTTATAATTATCTGCTGAGTTTTCAAAGGAGTGGCATCCACTTCCTAAACAACATGCCTCTGGAAACTCTATGAACTTTGACAAATGACGATAGTTGGAGAGGAGCTTCAGTTCTTTTGCTCATAGGGTCACTTTCAGTTGTGCTCAACTCAACAGCAGTCAACAACATTTTAGGGAAATCCTCAGTGGTTGCAAGAATAGGTCAGTATGAACTGAAATATTTTTATCTACATTTTGGCAAGGAAGCTCATATCATATGCTTTGGCAGATAGTAAGAGATGAGCCATAGCTTTATTATTACTTTTTAAAAATTCACTGAACAAAAACACTAGAATCAAGAAAAAAAAAAGTATTGTTCAATTACTGACATACATTATGTCTAGACACACATAAGGAAAATGCAACTAAAATCTTAACTATGTTCGCAAATGTTATTGCTTGATTATGCTTTGTTATGTATCCTTTTGGGTCCCAGTCAACACAGGAGATTTCTTTTCTAGCATCTAATAATGGAATTGGCAATATATCTAATACTGTGGAACCAAGGCATGAACAGAAAGTAATGAAGTAATTGGCTTCTATGCTGTTGACAATGAATTACTTGCTTTAAGGCATTTAACTTCACCGTGGTTCACTTTCTTAAATCAGCCATGGGAAAAAGGTGCATATTACAATTATCCCTAAAAGAAAATAGTTATTACATAATCATATAATTTACCAAACTTGGGCAAAATGTGAAAATGAAGAGTTACTTTTATTTACTATTTGATGAAGACATTTAGTAAACACTAGGTATGATATGTGAGTTCTGATGGCTTAGTGATAAGGAATTGCACTTCCAAGCCAAAAATATGCAGTTCTAATCCACTAGCTGCTCCATAGGAGAAATATGAGCAATCTTCTCCCTTGTGATTTACTGAAAACATGCTGGAGGGTCCCCTATGGGTTGGTTCTGAATCAATGGTACACTTCAATAAGACATGATAGAATCGTATAGAATAAGATGGGAGCTGTGGTAGCTAGTGGTAAGGAGTTAGTTACATTGCAATCCAAAGTCAGGTGGTTCAAATCCACCAGGTGGTCCACACAAGAAAGATGTGCTATTTGCTGCTGTTGCTATGTATCATGGAATCAGAACCAACTCATGGCTGAGCCTCCAGTGGGTTTTCAGCAGCAGTTAGTGGAACAGGTGGAGCAGACGTCTCATTTTTTCCCCATGGTGCAGTTGGTGAGATTGAACCACATGTCTTTGGGTTGGCAGTGCAACCCTTTATCACCAGGCCTCCAGAGTTCCCAGGTAATTTACTGCCTTTGAAAACATGCCCTACTGTCAGCTAAGAGTTTATATTAACTCATTGGTACAAAACAACAACGTATTATATTGTTGTTTTTGTTTTTAAGTGCCATTGAGTCAAGTATAACTTATGGTGACATATCAGAAGATCAAAGATTATCATGTTCAATTTGGGTTACAACTCAATATCAAGCAAACAAAACAAAAAGTTCTTGCCACTGGGGCTAAGGCAATATTATGATAGAAGGAGAAAATAACTTGTCTATGATTTAATTTTCTTTTGATCCACAATCAACAGTCATGGTAGACGTCAACAAATCAGAAGATGTGTTACATTGGAGAAATATGCCATTAAGGACCTCTCCAAAGTGCTGAAGAGCAAGGATATAAGTTTAAAGATTAAGGTGTGCCAGACCTAGGTCATGATATTTCCATTTACATCATATTATTGTGCGTCTGAGAAATGAACAATGAATAAAAAGGCCACAGAAGAACTGGTGCCTTTGAATTATTGTGTTAGCAAACAATATTGATTATAATATGGGCTGTCAAAAGAACAAAGAAGTCTGTCTTAGAGGGAAGTGCAAACAAGATGCTCCTTAGAGGCAAGAATGGTGAACCTTCTCACATACCTTGGGGAAGGTTGTCAAGAGAGCCAATTCACAGAGAAAAAACCCAAACATCATGCTAGGAAAAACTGGGGGTCAGCAAAAGAGGGAAAGACTCTTAAAGAGATAGACTGGCACAGTGCCTACAAC